GATTTCATCTAATATTTTGTATATCATCTGAGTTAGGGGATGAGAATGATCCCCTTGGAAGAATATATGGGTTTTCCCTGCAATGGTTATCCAACTGCAACCAGGGCTTTTAGTCAAACCCATTTTCCTCATCATCATTCTAGTTCTTGAGACACCGTCCAACATACAAAGAGAATCATAAATAGAACATAAGGCTATATAATTGCTAGGATTTCTAGGTTCCAAGTCAAAGAGATGATAAGCTGCAATTTCTCCAATCTCAACATTTTTGTGCATCAAACAACCTGCAAGCAGGGCACCCCAGACACTTGCAGTCACCTCCAACTTTACATTCTTTACCAATGCAAGTGCTTCCTCAAGATACCCAAATCGACCCAAAAGGTCCACCATGCAAGCATAGTGCTCCACACTAGGTTCAAACCCATAATCAGAGCTTATGGAGTTGAAAATCCTCTGACCCTGATCTATGAAACCTGAGTGGCTGCAACTAGACAAAACTGCAGTTAATGTAACGCAATTAGGTTCAAATCCACAATCTCTCATCTTCTTAAAAAGAAACAAAGAATCCTCTCCTTTTCCATGGATCCCATAACAAGATATCATTGTTGTCCAGGTTACCAAATTAAAATGGTGCATATTCCTGAAAACTGTTTCAGCATCTTGTAAACATCCACACTTTGCATACATATCAATCAATGAATTCCAAATTGCGATATCTCCCTCAAAAAGAACGCTCTTAACAACTTGACCATGTATTTCCTTCCCTTTCATCAAGTCCCCATCCCCTCCACATGCATGCAAAACACTAGGAATCACCATGGAATCCATCTTCACTCCTTCCTCATTCATATTCCTAACACATTCCAAAGCCTCCCTATACAGGCCAGCCCTCCCAAACCCTGAAATCATCGTATTCCAAACAACAGAGTCCTTCCAAAACATACCCGAAAAAACCTGCTTCGCATCAACAAAATCCCCAATTTTAACGTAAAAATCCAGAACAGATGTACCCACAATCACATATTCCTCAAACCCAAGTCTTATCACCCAACCATGAAGCAACTTCCCCATAAAAACTTCGCCAGCGCCTCCACAAGACTTAATCACAGGAGGCAATGTATAGTAATCGGGTCGAAAACCCATCTCAAGAAACATACCAAAAACACGGAAAACATCACCATACATCGAATTACTAACATAAGAAGCAATCAAAATGTTCCATGAATGCATGTTTCTTTTAGCCATTTTATCGAACACTTGGCGAGCGTCCCGAAGAAACCCGCATTTGGAGTAAGCTAACAGGAGATCCGTTTGGAGGAAAACGTTGGGAAGGAAGCCATGAACGATGATTTGAGTGTGGGTTTGCTTTGCCTGAGAGATTGCTAACAGAGAAGCACAGCTTCTCAGTAGAGATGAGAAGTAATATACCGTTTTGTGTGACATTTTGTTTTTTAAAGTTTTATAACGGTCGAGTCAAGAGAGGGCGGTAAGGACTAAGGAGCAGTATCTAAATTAGTCAACTCGGGATCGGTCCGGGCCGGGCCCAGTTTTTCTACGCAAGCGCGGATTTCTGGCCTACCCGGGCTTCAAGCCCAGGTTTGGTTAATATAGTGAAGTTTTCGATATTTTCCTTAATAGATGGGGGCATGTGTAATTTTATAAGTTATTGGTAATTTACATTGTAAAAGGAGCTACATGGACATTAGTTGATAGGAATTAGGAACTTTCTGAAACTTTTTAGGGAACTGTTTGTAATTTTTAGAGGGTTCCTATGTAATTTTATAAAATCTCAATATTATACATAGCCCCGCTTACGTACACCTCGAGCCTTATTTTCTAGGCTTGGGCCCGTGTGTATTATATGCCTGACTAGGCCACTCCAGCCCAGCTCGGGTTATTATTACATCCTTATTTAAACCATAAGGTCTGAAAAGATCCTCTATTGATAGAATATTTTTTATAGTTTCAACGAAAAATGATCTTAATATCCTCAAGTTCCCGAGTGATTAGGGTTGCAAACGAACCAAACAGTTCGCGAACAACTCGATATTCGTTCGATAACTATTCGATATTGTTCACGAATAGTTCGATATTCGTTCGATAATATGTTCGATCGAGTTCGAAAAGGGGTTGTTCGTTCGATTATGTTCGCGAACATTACACGTTCGACTGATCCATCTGTTCGCAAACAATTTGTTCGATTGTTCATTCGTTTATGTTCGAAAAATATGATATGCATTATTATAATTTATATTTTTTTTTTCATTTTTATATTATGTTTGGTTTAATTTGGATGAATTTTTTTTAATGGTAATTAATAATAAAATATTATGATACTTTTGTTTTTCTTATATATATAATATGTTTGGATTTTTTTTTTTTTTTTTCCAAATGTCATCAATAATTAAATATATAAGTATATAGCATTTTAATTAAGAAGTAATAAATTATTATGATACATAGCATGACAAATTTAATAACATAATAGATTGTATAATCAAGTGATATATAATATAGTAAATCTAATAACATAATAGCTTCATATTTTTTCAAATGTAATTAATAATTAAATATTATAAGATAGCATTTCAATTAATAAATAATAAATATAGTATAGTAAATTGATAAACATAACATATTGTATAATCAAGTGATATATAGCATAACAAATTTAATAATAGTTTAGTTTAGTTAAATATAGTATAATAAATTGATGAACATAACATATTATATAATTAAGTGATATATAGAATGATAAATTTAATAATATAATAGCTTAATTAAATATAATATGACAAATTTATGAACATAACATATTGTATAATCAAGTGATGTATAACATAANATTATAATATATTAAAGCTTTTAATATGGTGTAATTTATATGTAATAAATATAATTGTATTCATATATTTATTTAATTAGGTTATTCTAAAAATTTAACTTTTTCTATTTTAAATTTTTTTATATGTAAAATAATAGAAACTCCCCCATTATTTACATTTCACAAATATTTTATTATAGTCCAGGTTCCAAAATAGGTTCCAAAATAGGTTCTAAACAGGTTCTAAAAACAGGTTCCAAACAGGTTCTAAAGCAGGTTCCAAATAGGTTCCAAAACAGGTTCCAAACAGGTTCCAAAACAGGTTCCAAACAGGGTCTAAAGCAGGTTCCAAAGCAGGTTTCAAATAGGTTCCAAAACAGGTTTCAAAACAGGTTCCAAACAGGTTCTAAACAGGTTCCAAAACAGGTTCCAAACAAGTTCTAAACAGGTTCCAAACCGGGTACCCCCTATAGGTTCCAAACAGGATACCCTTTTTACAGGTTCCGGTTTCGGTTCCGGTTCCTCCACATGCAAGAACCGCACAGTAGCGGTTCCAAAAAATTGGAACCGGAACCTACTCGCACAGTGCAGGTTCTGGGTAGGTTCCGGTTCCGGTTCTGGTTCTGGTTCTTACTCTCGGTTCTGGTTCTACCCGCTACCCGTGCTCACCCTAGTGTTTTTAGGGAGCTGTTTGTAATTTTTAGAGGGTTTCCATGTAATTTTATAAAATCTCAATAATATACATAGCCCCGCTTAGGTACACCTCAAGCCTTATTTTCTAGGCTTGGGCCCGTGTGTATTATATGCCTGACTAGGCCACTCCAGCCCAGCTCGGGTTTTTATTACATCCTTATTTAAACCTTAAGGTCTGAAAAAATCCTCTACGGATAGAATATTTTTGATAGTTTCAACGAAAAGTAATCTTAATATCCTCAAGTTCCCATGTGACCCTACCCACTTGACCTCCACCCAAACCCAGCACATACAACACGCACAATTCAAGTGTACAAACACCCCGCCATCGTCCAGCCAAACCCAACAATCCCCACCGCAGCCAACTCCTCCACCACCACTACCACATAAAACACCATCAATCCCCACCATAAACACTTTCAATCCCCATAGAAACTCGTCCATCACTTCTAATAAAATAAGAGTAATTTTACGCCAACAACATATGCTTACAAACCTCTCTCACAACGTCGACATAGTAACTGAGTTGACACTATCACGTTAGCTCTATCGCACCCAAGACACAATATAATTTTGACTAGACCAAAAAAACAGTAGTTCTTTATGAAGGAATTGTTGTTTCTCACGGAAGTAATAACCGTTTTTTATGAAGCAATCGTCATTCCTTATGTAAGGAACAACGTTGTTCCTTTATGAACAAAATTGTTCCAAGAAGAAGAAGAAGAAGAAGAAGAGGAACAACATTGTTCCAAGAGAAAGAAGGAACAGTTCCTTCAGAACAAGGTTGTTTCAAGAAGAAGAAGAAGAAGAAGAAAATTGAAGAAAGGAATTGATAGGAGAGAAACAAGGTGAGGAACAACCATGGTTGTTCTTTAAGTAACAACAATTCCTTATGAAGGAATGAATGTTCTTTCATTAGAGACAATCGTTCCTTATAAAGAAATGATCGTTCCTTCATAAGGGATGATCATTCTTTCTGAAGGAACGACCATTTATTTTTCGTAGTGTCTTGGCTGTGGTGAAAACTCATAGTGTTTTGAGTATGGTGGAAACTAGCGTGATAGTATTAATATGTTGACACATTAGGATTGTAAAAGAACGTTGTGAGATTTTGTGGTAAACATATCATTTTTCATAAAATAATAGAACCATTCAACTCCAAACCTCAAACAATAAAAAATGAAAAAATTCAACCCCAATACCAGCCTCGCTCGATGCGGCAAATATGGCCTTGCAAGGTCATAGCAATGGCCTTTTGGGTATGGCGGTGGGTGTTGACGGGCCAAAAATATACGATAAGAGTTGTTAGTGACAATTTCTAACTCCGGGTGTCATTGTCGTTTCAGAATTTTTGAGGGAGTGTAAGTGGCAATAACCCTGAATCAAAATAAAAAATTGATCCTGACTTGATATTCATAACATTATTTAACGAAATATATTGTATCACACTTCTCTTTTAGGCTGACCGACTCAATACTTCAAATTACGTAATTTCTCACTTTTTTGTCACCTAATAAATAAATTCATTTCCTCATCTGTAAGGACAATGTTTCCAACAATATCAAGTGAAGATTGGCTAAATCCCTATATCATACATTCTGCTTCTGTATTAGAAGGAAAAAGAATTGAAAAATCAACTTGTTGACTAAACCAAAACTTTACAGAGGTTAGCACCGCGATTGTCATGGATCAATCGCCATTGGAGTGATGCGCCTCTTTGCTGCAGGCCTATTTTGAACAGGAGTTGCCTGTTGTTTCCCTTTTTCGCTTTCTGTTTCTGTCTTTTTGTTTTTGACTTCATTTCTCTCTGCTTCCATTGGTGTGCTATCGGCTGAGGTGAAACTGTTGTTCTTCGTGGTGGTTTTTTTCCCTTCGTTTGTTTCTGTTCCTGTTTTCTTTCTGTGCATTTGGTTTCGAACGCTACCATCAACTGTACTTGGTTCCTCTTGTTTCTGTTCTATTTCTGTCATCCTGCTACCTGCTTCATTTCCATCTGCTTCCATTCCTCTGCTATCTACTACAACTAGATCATCCTTTCTAGTTAGGTCGATCATCATGTCCTTGGATTTCTGAACATCAGGGATGTTGTTCTCATTACCTGTGACCTTATTTCCTACCAATATTGGATTGATACAAAACCTTTCAGACACAGGCCAAAGACTGGAAGGAGATAAATAGACAAACAGAAGAAAATGAAGAGATGACTGCAAACCTGATAAGGAGATGGGCGATCCCAGTTCGTCATTTTCGAATTCTACTAGAGTACAGTAACCATCTTGAGAGGACAAAGCTAAATATCGAGCATTAGGAGACCTTCAAGAAGAAGATTGAGAACAGCAGAAAAAGTTATTAACAGTAGTGACATAAAGAATTTATAGAATTACATTGGAACATAATGCAGAACGACTAAAACAATGTACCATGAAATGTCAGTTATGGCAGCATAGTGAAGACCAGCCAAGATTGCTGTGGGGGCAACACTCTCGGTGTCATATATGTACAAAGAATTTAAAGTTGCTATGGCAAAGACAAGGCGGTAAGGGAGCTTAAAGAATCCGCCTACATAAGTCAACAAAGGGCACTAAGATTATCATAAAAAAAAAATGCCAAGTTATGATAAGTGCAAAAACAGTAAAATGTATCATAATAAAAATACCTGAGTTTGAACCTCTAAGGCTAAAAGCCAGTGGACAGAAACGAACTGCTACAACAGGTTTGCTAGCACCTGGTAGCTGTAGAGCAGGCCTGTAGAATTAAATTAAAAATAACCCATTACAGCAATCAGTCTCAATTTCATATTCTCGAAAGATGATAGACAATGGAGCTGATAAGAAGATTTCTGTATAGAAAGAATACAATTTTAAGTGTATTACCTTGAAAGATCCTTTCTGGAAAATACATATGCTGTATTCACTGTTTGAGATGTAGGCGAAAATTTGTAAGAACCTGCAACGGACAAGTTCGAAATTACAGAAATATCACTATGAATAACTATAACTTTCATGAAAGTATTGCTGCTAATACAACCAATGCAGGAAGTTGAAAAGTTTGGATAAGATGTGATAAAAAGCAATTTTCTTTCAGAGACTTGGAAAATTAAAGATTACAAATTCCAAAAGATGAGAAGTTGATATATAAGCATGCCAGGACTTCAGTTAAATTTGGAGTTTACATAAATTAAAGTAAGCTGCTTATATATTTCACAGCCGCAGTATAAAAGTAAGCCGGTGATGCAAGTTCACTACCTAAATAATGAAACTTCACTTCTTTGCTCATTTATAAACACATATATGCAAGATTAATACTAATAAAAAAAAAGGGTAAACCGTGTCCCTTATTTTTGTTATCTTGTTTGTTTTTAAGATAAAAGAAAGAAGCAAAGTGAATTTTCGCAATACAAGAAAGGATATATGCTCAGACATTTATCGATACACTAGAAAGCATCAATTTTTTATATTAATGACTCTCATGGCCCTAGCTGTTTGGACAAAATACAGTTAGATTAACAAGAAAGAATAATGGCCTTTCAACAGTGAGATTAATTCAGTGCTACTAAATGAAGCTGTGAGTATCAAAACCACAGCAAAAGCTGCTCACAAGACCTGACACACACTGACACATTTGAAAAGACAAAGTCTGTACCTTCTATTAAGAAATGCCAACATTCTCAAGACACATCATCAAACCTAATAGCATATGTTAACAGGGATGCATAGATGTGCAGTATGACCTCTAGATTTATGCAGCCAGAGATTTTGCTCAAGCTTAGCTACAAAAACAATCAGAAAGATATATCTGATGACATTTATATATATTTAATTTCATTATAACATTTTTTAGGGTCCATACCTGCAGGCACAAGTAAAAATGATCCATCAGGTGACCAGGCTAATCTTCGGAAAAATGATGGCAATGTTTCATCATGAAAGAGATGGCTTTTTGCCTGCATCCGAAGCCATACATAAGGTTTATTGCATTTCATTTATAATCCAAACATACAAAGACGATCTCTAACCTTACAATCAACTGACTGCTTTCCTCCCTTGGTAATGACATGCTGACAAACATAATTCATCTTCTCAACACCTTTAGACTTCTGAGGCTTATTGGCATAAATTCGACAAGTTCTATCTGAGCTAAGAGAGGCAACATATATGGACAATGGATCCCAGGCCACACCCTGAACATAATGGAAATGTGCATCCAATATCTGAAGGACAGAACCTGAAGATCAAGAACAAGGACCATCAAGCATAAAAAAGTAGAGCGTCTTAACCACATGTTATGTATCATCTTTCTTACCTTTGCTAGGGTCCCATATAATGCAAGAATTATCAACAGATCCTGAGATAAGAAAAGCACCATCCTTAGACCACTGAAGGTCCAGAACATCTTTGCGATGAAATCTATCACAAAAGTACAAAAACAGTATCATTATAAAAATCATGCATGCTACAGCCTATATTCAACCAACCCTTCAAATCAATACAACATATACAAATATGATGGCAATTTTGATATATGAATGGAAACTTAAACTCAACCTGCAACACAATCATGGATACTTGGATAAATTGGATTCAACTTTGATCCAGAACCAATTGACCTGAATATACCCTGCTATAATGTTTCTGCTATATCAAAAAGAATTTATATGGTTGCACTTATTTTCAATATCGCATTAATTAGCATTTGCAGTTAAAAGATGGTAAAATTCTATAGGTTCTTCCTACTTAAACGATTGGTGTTGCTGCCCCTTTAAGTGGCAGATATGATATATAACTTAAGGGGACTGGAACAGGACCAGGTCCTGGTCTCCCAACCAAGTTTGGGGAGAGGATGGGGACTAATTCCTGATAAAAACCAACAAAATTTAAAAAATAGAAAATAAAAAATTCTTTACTTATCTCAACCACATACATTCATAAGCAGAAACTAGCACCTCTTACAGCTGTCAGTCTACTAACCATCCTCCCATTTCTATCTTCTGCCCCGACTAATTACTCCATGGAAAAATGCTCTGTTTTGTGGGAGTTGATCATTGTAACCTTTGCTATAAACTTCTCTCAATTTTATTTCTAAGGTTTTGAATGATTTTATTCAACACAAACTAACATTTTTTTTGTCCACCTCTTTTTTCTTTTTCTATTTTTCATTTTTTTGGATGATATACTGTTTAGTTGTCCATAAGATTACAGCTTATCTGTGTCAGTAATTTTCTGGTCCTTTTCTTTGTTCTCTTCGCAGTAGTATTTAGATAAGCGTATCCCCAGCAAGGAGCAGGAACATCTCCATCCCACCCTGTTAACATCCCTGAATGGAACTACAGGATAGGGCTTCAAATCCAACAGTTATTAACGTAATACAGACTCCAAAAGAAACCTAAATGAGGGCAAACTTGGCATGTTGCCAGTTCTTAGAAAAATAAATTTGGATGCACAACACCAGGAAAAAGCTTAATGACAAACAGAGATGAAAGGCCTTACGATAAAGTCCTGAGGACTTTCCATGCTTGACCAGTTTCCACTACATGTAACTTCCAAATGATCAGCTCACCTCCTGCAGATGGAAAACTAAATTTAAGAACAGCTAACCCACAAAAATTGCCTACTTATACAACAGTGTAACTGGTTTGGATCATATGTACAAGAGCAAATAGCTGAAAGTAACTGAAATCATACCATCAGCACCAGAGGCCAATAGTTGTCCTGCAAGATATAAAATAATAGTATTAGTTCCATCTTAAAGAAGAAAACCATAAATCTCAGAGGCTTTTGTAAAATATTAAGATCAAAGAACCTCTGTAAAACCTAGTCATGAGAATTTAAAAATAACTGAGAGTCTTTGATATAGAAAGATTAAATCCACAATACACATGGTGGGAGAGGCTTGTGGAACTATACCAACTCAAACTTACATTAGTTATATGAATTAATGCAACAATGGGTCCAAGGAGAAGAAAAACCTACCTCTATATGCATATATGTGAAGCAAAAACAACACTAGTCACTAGATAAAAATATCTGAAGGATTTTAATACTAGATACGAATATGCATTTCATGAATTGATTTCAAAATAATATAAAATCTCAAGAAATGAATCGTGTCCTTACCAGAAGGAGAGAAGCGAAGTATATTTACAGCTGAACCATGGTAAGAAAGACTACTTTGATAAGTAGCTGTCGGGATGTTCTTCTGTTCTTCGCCTGAATTTATTAACCAAAGCTGAAAGTATATTTATGAAATCAGTAACAGTTATTCCAGCCTGAATTAAAGCTTTAAAAGTCAAAGCATGACTCCTGATTCCGATTAATCTCTATCTAGTTGCTTCCACATCTAATATGAAAAATCGAGATACAGAAAAGAAAATAAATAATGGAATTTTAACTTATTAACTTTATTTTGGTTTCTTAAGAAATGACAACATCAATTCAACACACCAAAATAGACTAATTAGTATAATAGCAAAAACAGAAACATAACTTTCAGANGAATTGTGCCGTGAGATAACTTCTCCCTACCCGGGAGTGATGAATCCTCTGTCAATCCACCATAGCCTTGATACACTCCTTGATGCAGCAAATCACCACCGTATTGACAGCTCTGAAAAGAACTACGTTAGGCTAGTGTCAAACTGCACCAATCGGTGCACAAGGCGCTCCGGTGATCTCAAGTCTAAGGATCACATGCACCACCATTCGTTAGAGGATTTGTTCCATAGACACTGGGGTTACCATCCATATGGAATCCTCTGGTGGGTCAGTCCAGTGAACTTGCTGCGGTATATCTGCCTACAACAAGCACCTATGTGTTGCACCAGGTTGTCACCAAACAACCTTGACAAGTGAGATCAGTCACTGCCTTTCGACAGGGTCGTTCAACACTATGATAGCCTTATCGTATTATCTGTGCCCTTACTTCGAATAATACTGGGGCTACGGACGTTTCTAGAATGGCTACCATATGTGCTCATAGGGTTCTCACTATCAAGATTTGAAACACTTGATACCCTCATCACGGTTCTACCATTCTAAGGACATATATCAATACATATTGCAATAATAATTATTTACGCGATATAGAATAAAATGCCTTTTATTATTGATTAATGAACATTATTACAAAGAGTCAATTCTATAATAATTGATTGGCTCTAGGGCATCTACTCTAACAGATCGTAGTTCATGACCTCTTGTAATCTTGGCTAATAACTAGGAACACACTAATATAAAAGAAAACAGTAAATGTAGGATTCGCTTTAAGTAGCTGAACCATTATAAAAACCTTTGCTGTCTCATTTACTTTTACGTCTTTGCATGCTACTGTGAGAACAATACCCCACTGAACTCTTATAATCATTCACATGTAATTTCTAAGACTTTCTTAGTACTTTACACATGCGAAGTCGTTGGTGTCAAAATCCAGCATCAACAATATAAATATTGTATGAGATAAATAAAAGATAAAATAAAGACTTTTGAAGAGCTAAAACATTTTTTATAAAATTAAAGTAAATAAAAAATGGGATAAATTTAAAATAAATTAATGAAATCATAGCTTTCATAAAAATAGTTTAAGTAGAATAATTTGATTAAATTCTGGTTTTCGGTAAATATGGACTTTAAAATGGCTTTTTGGTCATTTAAAATTAAATAAAAAATTGAATTTATAACTTCAAAAAATTGAGAAATAAATTTTAGAAAGACCAAAAGGGATTCTAAACGTCCTTCAAAAAAACTTAAAATTAAAAAATGGACACTTAAAATGCTAAAATAGTAAGTTTCTAGAAACGAAATAATCTTATATAATCAAACATAAACAAAAAAAAAAATTACGAAATTTAAAACTGGAACATTTTCTAATTTTATAATATTTTAGAAAACATAAAATCAATAAAAACGATTTTGTGTTGAAAAGTCAATACACTGTCAAAATAGGGGTATTTTCATAATTTTGGGTTTTAAGTAAATAAAGCCTTGAAAATATGTAATTTTATGCCTAAATGCATGAAAAGATATGAATTCACATTGCATGTCATATTTTGGAGATTTTTATAATTTCAGAAATTATTTTGAAAACAACTTTTGTTGCTTATTAAGACTAGGTATCCAGTTAGGATCTTCTTTAGTGGGTGTAATTCGAAACGTTGTCTCTAATAAGCCTTATTAGACACTCTATAAAACGGCTTGGGCCTGTTGGTCTCTAAGGAAAGAGTTAAGAAAACAAACCTTTGTATGAAACTCAATACAGTATCGGACTTAAGGATATTTAAGTTAAGTCATACAATATTATAGCTAAATTCATCTTTAAGAAAAGCCTTGATAATCTAGGAATTGATAAGGATGACTGAATAAGGGAATATCTCTATCCTATTAAATCTTAAGAGTCTAATCTAATTTAATTCGAAGTACAGTACTAAAGGATTCGGATAGTCAACCACACTACTTAAAAGAATTTGTTATGCCTCAAAAGTCAAGCCTATGTCAGCGCAATTAATGTCTCTCTGTACCAGCTGTCAAGCCCATATCTTCAAAGATATTCTCAAAAACTTTATCTCATTTCAAAGAGATGAATGGACGAGAGCCTTCCATGTATCAAGGCAGCTTGCAAAATACTCATTACATTGAATGCAAATGTGAATAAATAGGCACCCCTCTTCCCGAAGGAGGAGGCTGGGCTGAGATTAGAGCTTCATTTCTTTCTCTGTAAAAACACTGTATTTCTTCATCTTTGTATGCCTTACGGGTAAAATCATATAAATAGTCAGAGATCGATAAAATAACAGTGGATGTAGGAGTCGCTTGTTGCATCCGAACCACTATAAAAACTCCCTCTTGCCAATCTTTCATTTATATTTTCTGCAAAATATATAATCTCAGCTCCATATTCAAATCTCATGGATCCATCACGTGTGATTCCTAAGTCCGCTTGGCGCTTCTCACGTGCGAGTCGTTGGCATCCAAAATCAAGCGTCAACAGTTTGGTGGCCCATGCAGGTCCGATTCTCAAACCTACATCGAAGTTCCTTGATGGCGTGCTTAGATCTCAAACCTGCGTTAGAATTCTCCAATTGCGTGGCCAGATCGCACGCGTCAGAGTTCTTCGATCGCGTGGCCAGATCGTAGATCGCACGCGTTAGAATTCTTCGATCGCGCATCAGAATTCTCCAATCGCGTGGCCAGATCGTAGATCGCATGCTTCAAAGTTCTCCGATCGCATGGCCAGATCGCAGATCGCACGCCCATGTCATCTTGATCCTCGGCTTCAGATCGCTGATCTTTAGCTTCAAATCGCGTGTTCAGATCGCTGATCATACGCTGAGATCGCTGATCTCTTGTGCTCTTAGGTAGAGTTCGTTATGATCTCTCAGGTCGAGCTCGTCATGACCTTTTCAGGTCAAGCTCGTTTTGACCTCTCAAGTCGAGGTCGTTTTGACCTCTTAGGTCGAGGTCGTGCTCGTTATATGCTCGGGTCGAGCCCAGGTCGTGCTCGTTGTGTGTTCAGGTTGAGCACAGGTCGTGCCCAAGTCGAGCCCAAGTCATGCTCGTTATGTGTTCGGGTCGAGTCCAGGTCATGCTCGTTGTGTGTTCAGGTCGAGCCCAGGTCGTGCCCAAGTCGAGCCCAGGTCGTGCTCGTTATGTGCTCGGGTCGAGCCCAGGTTGTGCTCGTTCAGGTCGAGCACAGGTCGTGCTCGTTGTGTGTTCAGGTTGAGCACAGGTCGTGCCCAAGTTGAGCCCAGGTCGTGCTCATTATGTGCTCGGGTTGAGCCCAGGTTGTGCTCGTTGTGTGTTTAGGTAGAGCACAAGTCATGCCCAAGTCGAGCCCGAATCGTGCTCGTTATGTGCTCGGGTCGGACCCAAGTCGTGATCGTTGTGCGTTCAAGTCGAGCCCAGGTCGTGCTTATTGTGCGTTCAAGTCGAGCCTAGGTCGTGCTCAGGTCGAGCCCAGATTGAGCTCATTTTGCCCAGGTTTCAGGTCGTTTTCCTAATAGATTTCAGGTCAAACTCCTACCAGATTTCAGGTCGAGCTCCTCCCAGATTTCAGTTCGAGCTCTTTAGTTCGAGACTGCAGCCAGTCAGATCAAAGACTTTAGTTTCCGAAGTGCAAATTATGCACTTCAAAAACTAGGGGGCTTCTGTTATACCTCAAAAGTCAAGCCTATGTCAGCGCAATTAATGTCTCTCTGTACCAGCTGCCAAGCCCATATCTCCAAAGATATTCTCACCAACTTTATCTCATTTCAAAGAGATGAATGGACAAGAGTCTTCCATGTGTCAAGGCAGCTTGCAAAATACTCATTACATTGAGTGCAAATGTGAATAAATAGGCACTCCTCTTCCCGAAGGAGGAGGCTGGGCTGAGATTAGAGCTTCATTTTTTTCTCTGTAAAAATACTGTATTTCTTCATCTTTGTATGCCTTACGGGCAAAATCATATAAATAGTCAGAGATCAATAAAATAACAGTGGATGTAGGAGTTGCTTGTTGCATCCAAACGACTATAAAAACTCCCTCTTGCCAATCTTTCATTTATATTTTCTGCAAAATATATAATCTCAACTCCATATTCAAATCTCATGGATCCATCACGGGTGATTCCTAAGTTCACTTAGCACTTTTCACGTGCGAGTCGTTAGCGTCCAAAATCAAGCGTCAACAGAATTATTCCTGGCATGCAAATCATTTCATAATGTCTAGCATAAATAATGAGAAACGTTAATGGGCCTTGAATCAAATTTTTCATTCCTTCCTTTAACAAGCATGGTTATAGACTAAGGCCCATTATGTAATTCTCACAAGGCTGATAGCATACTGCTATCTGGATTACGGGTGTAAACAAGCTGAGTCGAGCCGAGTATCACCCTAAACGAGCCTGACTCGGTTAAGCATTAGATGAGTTCGAGTTGAGTCACAAGTCAACTGAGTTAAGAAAATTTGACTCGTGACTCGACTCGAGCTCGTTTGACTCAACTCGAAAAGCTCGATTATGACTTGATTAATATGAGCTTGAATTGGCTCGATTACAACTCGTTTAGCCATTTTTTATATAACTTGCAGATCTTGTTTTACACAAATCAGATCCAATTTTTGATAAATTTGCATCCAAATCAATATAAACAATGTATTACACAACAAATTATACAATCCAAGACAAAGAAGGGGGGGGGGGGGGGGGGAGGTGTAGTTTGTGTTTGCGATTGTTAGCGATTGCGTAGTTCTTATGTTTGTGGGTGGTTGGGTGTGATTTTAGGGAAATCATTTTTGGGGAAGTCGGGGTTTCTTGATGATTAGTAATGTGAAAACAGGGTTTATGATTTTGAGGAAATCGTTTATACGATTTGGGTTGAGGGTTAATTTGCAATTTTTTTAACCTTTTGCATGTTAAATTACAAGACAGACCTAAAACTTGTATTTTTTGCAAAAAAACCCTAAACGAGCCACTATTGACTCGTGAGTCGAATCGAGTCAAGATAGGGTAGACTCGAACTCAGCTCAATACCTAATTCAAGTCATACTCGAGCCGACTCGGCTCGATTAAACTTGAGCTGAGTTCGAGTACCCTTGGTTTGGATTCATTTAAAGCCTTAAATGAGCTTTGGACCTTCCCTTAAGTCGTTAAGCTATAGCTCAACTCCAATTATTGTGCCTATGCAATGTGCTTATCCACCACCACACTGCCGTTTATAACATTTTGAATTAGGGAAATGATCTTAGAACCCAATTTATTTTATTAATTGACCCCACTTCTTATTTAGACAAGGGTGAAATTGTTTACCATTTTTATGAAATGGGATTAGATTTAAGAGAAACAATTTTAAGAGCGAATGGATTACGCATTGATGAAGATTGAAGAGTGGTTATGATATTTAACTCATGGAAGGGAAAAGGTGCTGTAGTTGGAGCCTATGGGGGGAGTTTTTGAATGAGACACTATCTGTTAATTTTATACGAGGTGAAATCTAAAACAAAAAAGATGAGTTGTTGGCTTTTATTAGCCAATAGCCATGGTGATTAATTTTAAATATTATATATGTAGTTTATTTTTTGTTTAAATTTTCATTTGTCTTATTCCTGATTTGTTACTTTTGATTAGTCATCTTTGAGTTAACATATTACAAAAATTTTAAATCTGTCTTTCTGTTTTTTTTTTTTTTTTTTTTTTCTACTAATAATAAAAATGATCAATTTCGTTTTAAAAATAGTCAGTTAACTTTTTTTCTTCTTTTTAATAAAATTTCAAAAAGTTTTTGCTCAATGTTTGTTTCATAGATTTACTGTGAACAAGTTTCTTAAAAAAATAAAATAAATAAAATAAAATAACTTTAGCATAGATTTATAGTGAACAAGTTTCTCCAAAAACAAACTCTGATTGGGTTGGTGATGTACTGCTCATGAGGGTAACATTGACAATCTAAGTTACAAGTTGTATTTATCAGCATTATAGGAAATGCACCCAACCCTAACACCCACGTGGTGCCTAGAAACAAATTTCCAATGTTAGGGTAGTCCAACCTTGACAAGAGTTGTTACGAAAACTCGCAACAACTTGAGATACTTAATCAACCTGGATGGGAGTGGGTAGGATGTGAGCATGATTATAAATAATCAACAAGACAATAAAATACATCAGTAAACAAAATAAGGATAATTTTTAAAGTGGTTCGGCTTGTTCAATCAAGCCTACATCCATTGTTCTTTTATTAGTTTTTGCCTTACAAAGTAAATAAGTTCTCTCTCTGATTTTGCTAACCCCGTTATAATGAGTTTGAGGGGGTTTATATAGTGCGTAATGAATAGTGCTTACAAGAGAAAAATTAGGGATAAGGGCCTGATTTTAGGGAGTTAATCCCACGATTGTAGGTGTTACAATTAAACTGAAATTGGTAGGAGTTATGCCAAGATTTTCTCCTTGATTTTTTGGGATAAGGCTTATCATTGGTGATAAGGCTTATCCTTGACTTAAAAGACAGCTGCCCATGAGCTCGCTTCAGCTTAGACATAACTCGCTTCAATCTACCCGCAACTCACTTCAATTTGGTCGCTGCCTCAGTAGTTACCTCGAGCTGGTCACACAACCTTTTTGAGGTTGTTTCGAGCTGCAAAAACTATAAGCTTTTCTTGACGAGCTATCGATGTGCGAGTTGCTCCCATGCTAAACTGACTTGTGAATAGGGGCTTATTCAAATATGTCCGAGCTTCAGCCAATGAGCTTGCTCCCAGTGACCTTCCTAGTGACGAACTGATGTGTTGGGATGAGCTGTCACTTTGCAGCGAACATTCTTCATTCGAAGAGGTACCAAAAAGTTGAAAGAATTTGGCGCCACTGGCTTCTTTTGAAAGATACATTTAAGGGTAAAAATGTCATTTTATATGTCACATCCATGCATTCAATGAAGCTGCATGCGGACAATCATGCCAAATAAAGTTGTTAGGTTGACATTTTGCTTTTCAAAACGATGGTATGCTACAATCATTGCCACGTGGTAGGAATGGATGGCCAAGATCATTTGCGCTCGGATTTCCTTGTTATAAAAGGAACCCGAACCTAGATTTTGCAATCTTTACAAAATATTTTTTTGCAACCCAAACACTTCTCAATATGAACCTGAAAACTTCTTTGCTTCAACCTCGCTTTTCACGATAATTTTTCGGCGATTTCTTGGCTTTTCATTCAAGGTAAGCTCCCCACTTCCCTCTGCTTTCTTCCATTCTTGCTTTTGACTTCGCCATTGTGGTAGTTATTGCTTGCTTGTTGGGTTGAGTCTGAATTTGAATGGACATGCTTAGTTTTTCTTTGGTTTTTAGGATAGAAGACTTACATAAGGTAGCCAAAATTTGTTGCCGGAGTTTTTCTGTCTGTGTCGTTGGGGTTTCTGCTCATTGTTTGAGTTCATCACTGGGTGGTTTGTTTAAAAGCACCTCAAGCACTTGGGATTGAAGGCAAGTGTAGGTAGATCGGCTTTTTGGATTAAGACAGCCCGTAACACTTGAGTTCGTGTTTCAGGTACCTGAAGACAATGTTTCAACATGGTCGCCATTGACAAAAGCATTGCCGAGCTTTTCGATGAAAGCTCCTGGAAAGGCTCGAAGAGATCGGAGGAAAAAACTAAATCTAACATAGTCGCAGCCGAGGTGTCGAATAGGAACCGACATAGTTGGTCAGAGGTCGATTCTATGGCGGCGAATATAGATGCTATCAAGAAGGTTGAGCCCGACGATGCTGATGATAGATAGAATTTTACTATCCTCACAAGTGCACAAATCGCTATCATGACTGTAAGTGCTCTAGTAATCCTAATGCCTATGCCTTGTGAAAATAACTAAAATGAAATTAAGAAAATACATAAACAATATTTAAAGATTCTAAATCTAATTATCTACAGAAAAACCTAGGTCTTTAACTCCATCATAATTATCCAACTACATGTTCATTATCAAACTGAAGTTCTCTCCATTCTACTCTAGGGTTCGTGCTCTTGTCTTTTCAGGGTATTAATGTATATCAATAAGCTTAGGGTGTTACCGTAAAGCATTCGGAATTAACCCTCTTTCTACACCCATTAAGATCTAGAGCACTAAACATATAACCAATTCGCATAGACACAAATAATCCATTCACATAGCTAATCAAGATAGGCAAGGCAACTTTCATTTTTAAGGTATTACTATAGGGCGTTCGAGATTAACCTAGTATTTTTATCATTTAAACTAGCTAATGGCATAGCCCAGTCTAAATAATGAAAATCCATTAAACACGAGATGATCTTAAAGACAACAACCAATCTATACATGTCAAGGCGTGTGCACAAATACAAATCTGTCATTCCGTACCCAATCTTGTCTCATATAATCAATTAACTAACATCAAGGTTGATCAGGCCCTAATATCAACTAAAGATTGAATTAAACACAATGAATGAATATAGAACATGATTGAATAGATCAAACAAATAGAATATAATAAAACACAAGCCTTCAATTAGATTACATTAAATCCCTAGAAAAATAAACTAACTACATAAAAGAAAAGAAAAGATTACACTTGGAAGCCATGAAGATCCATGGGGTGTTAGACAAGGGCTTTATCAGGCCGAGTCATTCCCCATGGGGTGCTCCAATTCTATTTGTGAAAAAGAATGATAGGTCTATGAGGATGTGTATAGATTATCGTGAACTGAATAAAGTAGTGGTAAAGAATAAGTACCCCTTGCCCAGGATAGATGATTTGTTTGACCAGTTGAAAGGTGCCTCAGTATTTTCTAAAATTGATCTAAGGTCAGGATACCATCAGGTTAGAGTGGCTAAGGAAGATATACCAAAAACAGCTTTTCGAACAAGGTATGGGCATTATGAATTTGTTATGATGCCATTCGTATTAACTAATTCACCTGTAATTTTTATGGACTTGATGAACATAGTTTTTCATGATGTCCTTGATAAGTTCATAGTGGTGTTTATTGATGATATCCTAGTTTATTCCAAGACTTTAGAAGAACATGCCAAGCACTTGAGATTTGTTTTACAAAGAGTAAGAGAGAAACAGCTGTATGCCAAATTTTCAAAATGTGAGTTTTGGTTGGATTGGGTTACCTTTTTGGGTCATGTGATCTCTAAAGACGGTGTATCAGTGGATGCTAGTAAAGTAGAGGCGGTGCTCGAGTGGCAGAGGCCAAAGACAGTGAAAGAGGTTAGAAGTTTTCTGGGCTTAGCAGGGTACTATAGGAAGTTCATGGAAGGCTTTGCAAAGATAGCCAGACCACTTACAACTCTCACCAAGAAAGAAGTACCATTTGAATAGACTGAGGCATGCGAACAAAGCTTTCAGGAGTTGAAGAAAAGATTAACTACAGCTCCAATTCTTACATTGCCAAAAGACGGCATTGATTATGATATTTACGTTGATGCCTCCCACAATGGTTTAGGAGCAGTGTTGATGCAGCAAGGGAAAGTCATTGCTTATGCCTCCAGACAATTGAAAGACTATAAGAGCAGATATCCTACCCATGACTTGGAATTAGCAGCAGTGGCTTTTGCTTTAAAGATATGGCGACACTACTTGTATGGAGTGAAATGCAACATATACACTGACCATAAGAGTTTGAAGTATTTCTTCACTAAAAAAGAGTTGAATATGAAACAAAGGAGATGGTTAGAATTGGTGACAGATTACGACTGTGACATCAAATACCATCCAGGGAAAGCTAATGCAGTAGCAGATGCCCTTAGTAGAAAAGTCTCTTTATCTCAGATTACTATATGGGGACAATTACAGCAAGAGATCCTTCAAGAAGGAATTAAAATTGTCATCAACGGAGGATTGGCCCAAATGGAGATCAAACCCACTTTGGTGGAGGAGATCAAGATGAAACAGGTTAAAGATGATACCTGCAAGATAATCTGCCAGTCAATGGGGCACTGATGTTTAGAGATAGAATATGTGTACCTCAAGATGAAGAACTAAGGAATAAAATCCTTAGTGAGGCACACAATACACTTTATACAGCTCACCCTAGGATTGTAAAGATGTATCAAGATGTGAAGAAAAGCTATTGGTGGTCAGGTATGAAAAACGATATTGCCGATTATGTTGCCAGATGTTTAACATGTCAACAAGTAAAGGCAGAGCATCAAAGACCATCAGGATTACTCCAACCCTTAGAGATTCCTAAATGGAAATGGGAAGATATCTCAATGGACTTCATTGTGGGACTTCCTAAAGTTCAACAAGGATATAATGCAATTTGGGTGTTGGTTGATAGATTGACCAAGATAGCTCATTTTCTACCTATGACGGATAAAATAGATGCATTTCGATTGGGGCAATTATATGTCAGAGAGATTATGAGATTACATAAAGTACCTAAGACGATTGTGTCAGACAGATATACCAGGTTCATATCAGCTTTTTAGGTTGGAATGCAGAGAGCATTGGGTACAAAGTTAGCCTTTAGTATAGCTTCTTATCCTCAAACTGAAAGGACTAACCAGGTGATTGAAGACATGCTGAGAGCTTGTTGTATGGATCACAAGGCAAAATGGAGTGATGTACTTCCACTAATAGAATTTGCCTATAACAACAACTACCAATCCACTATCCAGATGGCCCCATATGAAGCATTATATGGAAGAAGGTGCAGATCCCCTTTGTATTGGGATGATATTGGAGAAAAAGACTCCTTGATTCAAGCAGTTGGACCAGAGATGACCCAGAAAATGATTGAAGATGTTAAGCTTATTAGAGAAAGAATGAAGCAAGCTCAAGATCGACAAAAGAGCTATGCCGACCTAAAAAGAAAAGAAGTGGAATTCCAAGTGGGCGACAAAGTTTTTGTAAAAGTTGCGCCCTATAAACATATTTTGAGATTTGGAAAGAAAGGCAAGCTCGCTCCACGTTACATTGGACCCTTTGAAGTATTGGAAAGGGTAGGCAAAGTAGCTTATAGACTTGCGCTGCCAATGAGCATGGAAAGAGTCCATAATGTTTTCCATGTCTCTTTGTTGCGTAAGTATGTTAGTGATCCTTCACATGTGCTTCAGATGGAGGAAGTGGAATTACAGGATAATTTGGCTTATGAGGAACGCCCAGTTCAAATCCTTGACAGAAAGGTAAAAGAGCTCAGAAACAAGCAAATTCCACTAGTTAAAGTACTTTGGAGGAATCACAAGATAGAAGAAGCTACTTGGGAAATGGAGCAAGATATGAGAAGTCGATACCCGGAGCTGTTTCTATAATTTCGAGGACGAAATTATTGTAAGGGGGGAGGAAATGTAATACCCAAGATGTCAAAGGTATGTTCCTAACTCAAAATAGTCCTTTAGATGTTAATTTTATGTTAAAAAGCATAAAATCTAACTAAGGGCAAAATAGTCAATTCATTTGGAACGGTATGAATCAATTATCCATAGAGAGGCTTAGGGGCAAAATGGTTATTTTGCCTATGGATAAGCATTGAAAAAGTCAAGGATGAGTAGGCTTCATTGCATTTAATGGCATTAATTAAGTAATAATTATGTCTAGTGTGAAATGACCAAAATGCCCTTATATGAAGAATTAAGGACTTATGAGTTATACAATTAAAATAATTGGGCCAATTGCATAATTTTGGAAAATAAATGAAATATTTTCCTATAAATGAGATGAAATTCGTTCAAGCCAAAGGAGAGAGCCTTTCTTCAACATTTCTTCCATTTTCTCTCAAATCTTCCATGAAACAAGCTTTCTTTCTCTAGGTTTTCAAGGAGTTTTGCATAATTTTTCAAGGAGAACAAGATAGGAGCCTTGGATCTTCAATTAGAAGGGTTTAAGGTAAGGATTAAAAACTTTAGTTTTGATGTGATTTGAAGAT